GTGAGACCTCATCTCTACTAAAAAAAAATACAAAGAAATTAATTGGCCAACTAAAAATATATAGAAAAATTAGCTGGACATGGTGGTGCATGCCTGTAGTCCCAGCTACTGGGGAGGCTGAGGCAGAAGGATTGCTTGAGCCCAGGAGTTTGAGGTTGCTGTGAGCTAGGCTAACGCCACAGCACTCTAGCCTGGGCAACACAGTGAGACTCTGTCTCAAAAATAAATAAATAAATAAATAATAAATAAATAAATAAATAAGTACCCCTCCCTCCCCCCCATTTGGCTGAACACAGTGGCTCATGCCTGTAATCCCAGTACTTTGGGAAGCTGAGGAGGGAGGATCACTTGAGGCCAGGAGTTAGCAACCAGCCTGGGCAACATTGCCCCCTCTTTACAAAAAATTAAAAACATAAACCAGGTATGCTGGTGTGCACCTCTAGTCATAGCTACTGGGAAAACTGAAGTGGAAGGATCTCTTGAGCTCATGAGTTCCAGCCTGGGCAACAGTAAGAATCCCATCTATTAAAAAATAATTCCATTAAAAAAATTCTTGAAGAGAACATAATTTGATTTGAATATATCACATTTAGTGGAAATTTAATTCAATTTTTTGAATTAAATTTCCTATCAATTTTAATTAAATGAAGGGATTAGATTCTTTCTAACACTAATGTTCTGTGGTTTGATCCTGTCTAATTAATTTTTTAACAGGATATTTAATTTACCCAACCAATAATTATTAAATTAATAAATTATTAAATTATTAATTACTATCTAACCTCAGAAAATAGTAATGAAGACTTGGTCAAGAAATAACTGAAAATCTGAAGTAGTAATGTAGTGATTTTTTTGTTTTGTTTTGTTTTTATTTTATTTTATTTTTTTGAGACAGAGTCTCAACTCTGTCGCCCAGGCTAGAGTGCCATAATGTCAGCCTCCTTCACAGCAACCTCAAACTCCTGGGCTCAAGCAGTCTTCCTGCCTCAGCCTCCCGAGTAGCTGGGACTACAGGTGCACACCACCACGCCTGGCTAATTTTCTTATTTTTAGTAGAGATGGGGTCTCGCTCTTGCTCAGGCTGGTCTTGAACTCCTGAGCTCAAAGGATCCGCCCGCCTTGGCCTCCCAGAGTGCTAGGATTACAGGAGTGAGCCACCATGCCACATCAGTAATGTAGTTTTATGTTCTGTCAAACTACATGCTGTGTGTGTGTGTGTGTGTGTGTGTGTGTGTGTGTGTGTGTGTGAGTGACTGGGTTCAGTTATCTCTGCTTCAGGAATCGTTGCTCTCAAAGGGAAATCCATCAAGAATCTATGTATGAATACTTTTAAAGGTTTAAGTAGGGAGAAGTATAGAGAAGAGCTTATGTGACAAAAGTGTTCATAGTGAAAGAAGGAAATCAGTTGGTGGTCTGGTTTGAGTAGAATAACTATGTCCTTCACTGTTTAGGGTTATGAGTTGGACTATTCCAGCAAATGAAAATTTCTACTTCAATTTATTTTTTTGTATTTTTACTCCATCAACTTTTAAAAATCTATCACAGTTAAGGCCGGGCACGGTGGCTCATGCCTTTAAGGATTGTTTGAGCTCAGGAGTTCAAGACCAGCCTGAGCAAGAGCGAGAACCTGTCTCTATTAAAAATATAAAAAGAAATTGGCTGGATAACTAAAAATATATAGAAAAAATTAGCCAGGCATGGTGGTACATGCCTGTAGTTCCAGCTACTCGGGAGGCTGAGGCAGTAGGATCGCTTGAGCCCAGAAGTTTGAGGTTACTGTGAGCTAGGCTGATGCCACGGCACTCTAGCCCGGGCAAGAGAGTGAGAATCTGTCTCAAAAAAAGGAAAAAAATCTATCACAATTAAGTTGGAAGTCTTGATTTTAAATGATGATCCACAGTTGCTGTGCCTGACTTGTGTCCCTTTAATGGCTGATGACTCAAACATAAGAATTATTTTTCAGTTTTGAGTTTTCAAGATCATTTGTGAATTTGATTGCTTCCCTGTTTTTTTTAAGTTGGAAAAAAAATTTTCCTAACTTTGTAATGTTCAGTGTATAAAGCAAATAATCAGAAAATTATGAATCCCTTAATAACTGATAAAACAGGAATCTATTCACTGTCAGTCACATAAATTGTGAAGTTAGAATATCTTGTTTCTGGTGAGCCCAAGATTTTCAGATTATTTGGCTTAATGATGATGTTATGAGACTACATGCAGGAATAACTAGGTCTGGAGCTGATTAAACGAGTGCTAGATAGAAACAAACCTGTAGAGGACCTTAGATAACACCTAGGCCTGTTCTCTGATTTGACAGATGAGAGTTTTAGTGATTTAGATAATTCACTTAGGTAACTGAATCGGAACAGCTACTCCAGGCACTGTCTACTGAATTAAAAGGGAAAACCAGTGTCTCTTAAAATGTTTGCTGTAAATAATCTAAAAAGGAAGACACTCCATTTTCTGATCAGTTGTATATTTCAGACTTTAATTATTGAGCACAGTTACATACTTTGTCAACCCCTGTGGATCCAAAGGTAAATAAGACAGCCTTTGTTCTTGGAGGAGTTTGCAAGATGATGATGATGATGATGATGATGATGATGATTTTTTGAGACAGAGTCTCGCTTTGTTGCCCAGAATAGAGTGAGTGCCGTGGCATCAGCCTAGCTCACAGCAACCTCAAACTCCTGGGCTCAAGCAATCCTCCTGCCTCTGCCTCCCGAGCAGCTGGGACTACAGGCATGTGCCACCATGCCTGGCTAATTTTTTCTATATATATTAGTTCACCAATTAATTTCTTTCTATTTATAGTAGAGATGGGGTCTCACTCTTGCTCAGGCTGGTTTTGAACTCCTGACCTCAAGCAATCCACCCGCCTCAGCCTCCCAGAGTGTTAGGATTACAGGCGTGAGCCATTGCACCTGGCCACAAGATTATTTAACATGCAGGAGTGGAGACAAATTAGCCCATGCTGTCCCCTCCACTTGAATAAGATTTTGTGTGACCTGTCCCCTTGCTTGTCACTCCACTTCATCTTCCTTCTGCAGGTTTATTCAGACAGGGTCTCACTCTGTCGCCCTGGCTAGAGTGCATACTTCACAGCAACCTCAAACTCCTGGGCTTGAGGGATCCTCCTGCCTCAGCCTCCCAAGTAGCTGGGACTACAGGCATGTACCACCACACCCAGCTGATTTTCCTATTTTTTGTAGACAGGGTTTCACTGTTGCTCAGGCTGGCCTCGAACTCCTGACCTCAAGCGAGCCTCCCATCTTGGCCTCCCAAACTAGGATCACAGGCATGAACCACTGCAACCTACACCTTTTGCAGGTTTAATGCTGTCTAGTCATGCTTACCTCCTTCCAGTTCTTTACGCTAGTCATACTTCTTCCTGTCTCAGGGTTTTTATACATTCCTCTCTCTATTCCTGAAATACTTGAAATACTCATCTTTTAAAAGAAAAAAAACTAGTTTACTTCTCATCTTTTAACAGAATATACGCCTGTATAATATACCCCTTTCTCCCTCTACTTTTCTGCTGTGAAAAGCCATGTTCCATCTTTTCCTTATTTTTTTTCCTTATAGCACTTATTTTGCTATCATTAATGTAGATATACTTATTTTTATGATGATTACATTACCTTTCTCTTCAAGAAATGGCAGTCTCCCTGAGAGCAGAGATTATTTTTGTTCAGGGTCTTATCTCCAACATTTAGCATAACCATAGTAGGTGTTAGAGTATTGGAAAATTTCCTTTCTAAAGCTATTCTAGTGCTATAAATCAGAGTTTAGTTTTTTGTAAAGGGCCAGCTAGTAAACATTTTTAGCTTTGTGGACCACTTATCTTTGTCTCAACTCTGGTATTGTAGCAGGAAAGCAGACAATATGTAAAGGAATGGGTGTGGTCCTGTTCCAATGAAACTTTTATTTATTTATTAAAATAGTAACTAATCTGTAGTTTCCTAAATTCTACTGTAAATCACCATCCCCCATTTTGTCGGACCTGAAAACTCTCATGCATTCTTGCAAATCCTCCCTTAGATTTTTTAAAAAATGATTTTATTTTTGTATGGTAGTTGCTAAAGAGGTGATTTTTAAAAAAGATTGATCTTGAAATAACTTTTCTCTCAGTATAATCTTTAATAGTAATTTATATTTTTACTCTCTCCAGTTTAGTAGGCATGTACTTTTGTTAGCTTTGCGTTTCTATTTAAGTAAAATATGATTCTTTATATTAATTTTAAAATACACAGATTGTTTTGGGTTTTGGATAGATTGAAATTTTACAATGTGTTAAGTTTTATAAAAAAGACAATCTATTTTTATAACCTGATGCTTGAAACAATATATATTATTTTGTTTCTAAATGATACATTAAGAAAGATTCCAGGCGGGGTTGGTGGCTCATGCCTGTAATCCTAGCACCCTGGGAGGCGGAGGCAGGTAGATTGCTAGAGGTCAGTATTTCGAAACCAGCCTAGAAAAGAAATTAATTGGCCAACAAATATATATATAAAAAATTAGCCGGGCATGGTGGTGCATGCCTGTAGTCCCAGCTGCTTGGGAGGCAGAGGCAGGAGGATTGCTTGAGCCCAGGAGTTTGAGGTTGCTGTGAGCTAGGCTGATGCCACGGCACTCACTCTATTCTGGGCAACAAAGCCAGACTCTGTCTCAAAATAAAAAAAAAAGAAAGATTCCAGGCTGGGTGCAGTGGCTTATACCTGAAATCCCAGTACTTTGGGAGGCCAGAGTGGGAGGATCGCTTGAGCCCAGAAGTTGGAGACCAGCCTGGGCAACATAGCAACACCCCCGTCTCTTAAAAAAAAAAAAAAAAAAAGCCAGGCAAGGTGCTACAGGGCTGTAGTCCCAGCTAATCAGGTGGCTGAGGTAGGAGAATCACTTGAGCCCAGGAATTCAAGGCTGCTATCAGCTATGATGATGCCACTGCACTCTAACCTGGCTGACACAGTGAGACTCTGTCTCTAAAAAAGAAAAGAGAAAAAAAGAAAAAAGAAACAAAGAAAAAAATCACAATGACAAGCAAATTGACTGTAAGCATCAATGTTTATTTTTCTTTTTTAACGTTGTTTGAAAGTGTAAAGCCACTGTGCGGCGGCGACTAAGAAGGCGGCTGTGGTGGCGGCGGCGGTGGCTGAGGCGGGGACGGAGGAAACAGAAGATGGCAGATTTTTTGAAAGGCTTGCCTGTCTACAACAAGAGCAATTTTAGTCGATTCCATGCTGACTCCGTGTGCAAAGCCTCGAACCGCCGTCCCTCAGTCTACCTGCCCACGCGGGAGTACCCGTCTGAACAGATCATCGTGACAGAAAAGACAAACATCCTCCTGCGCTACCTACATCAGCAATGGGACAAAAAGAACGCTGCCAAGAAGAGAGACCAGGAACAAGTGGAGCTTGAAGGCGAGAGCTCAGCACTGCCCCGCAAGGTGGCTCGGACCGACAGCCCAGACACGCACGAGGACACTTAAGACTCACTCCGCACGGGCCGTGCCCTGTCTGCTCCTCGATCGCCTGCCCACGTGTGTAAGCGCCCCGCCCGCCCCCGCCGGCCCCCACGCCCGCCGTCCACACCACTCCCGCCCTCATAGGAGCCGATGTATTTATTTTCCTCGAGTTTTTATTTATGCTGTGACACGTATCAAGCGTTGGTTAAAGGGGACGTCAGGCCCAGCAGTGTGATATTGGTAGATGCTTTTCAGAGGAAACTATAGCGTTGTTCCTCACCCTCCCCGCCGTTGTCCCCGAGAACCAGAGTGTGTCTGGGGGTCTGGCGCGGGGCTGCGCCACGGCCGGCGGGCGGCAGGGCGGGGCGGGCGCAGCTCGCCTGGACAGCTGAGCAGCCTGCCCCCCCCGCCCCCCCCTCCAGGCCTCTGAGACTCGGCCTTGACTCACGTTCCACCAGGAACTATTCCGTGCCCAGGCCTCACTCTGAGCGGGCGTGCGTGCGGGGAGCATCGGCCTTTCCGGATCTTTCTCCCAAGTCATTTTATCATGGACTAGTGCGTGCTCCGTGTCCACCCCAATAAAAGGATCTTTCCTACTCAAAAAAAAGAAAAGAAAGTGTAAAGCCATCTTAATGTGCTGGATGAGAGGTTTGATCTGATGAATCAAGCAAAGGTCTGGATCTTGGGTATATTTGTAGAGTCATTATTTTTTCTCATTAATTTATATTTAGTCCCTGAGTTTCTTATACTATTCGTAGTTGCCCATAATAGCTATAAAATGAACATTACGACAGAAAAAAATTTAAAATCATTTAATGTTCAGAACTGTTTAAAGAAAAACTTCAGACAAAGTAAATTTAGCAGAGTTTATTTGAGCATTAAAAAGATTTCAGGCAGCTCTCAACTAGAAGAGGTTCAGAGAGCTCTGCTTTAGCAGCAGGGTTTTATAGGCTGAACATAGTAGCAGGGTTATTAATTGATTGGCTTCTGCTAGGCATTTACCTTATGTGGCTATTGATCCAGAGGAAAGTCCCTAGTTAGAAGTTAGTTGATGGTTTCTGATTGGTTAAACTCAAGTTTAGTTCTGTTTACTTTGGGCTGTAGTTTGCTTATGTAGGTGTTGGAGCCAGCTGTTTCAGCCTAATGGCACCCCAATTAATTTTTTTAAAAACAGAACCATAATGGCATATAGTTGTGATCATCAAAGTAAGAAACCCAAGGAGTGACTGTTGTGAGCATGATCATTAGAACTCCATGGGCTGCTGCACATGTTCACTTAACACCCACAGGGAGTTTTCAGACTGTTTTCTTATGAATGGGGATTGTTTTTCTTTTTGAGATAATAAAAAACTTATGGACATTTGGGAGAGCAATGAAAAACTCCTGTTGACCAGTTTGTTTACATTTTTGCCCTGTTTGCGTTATCCTTGTGTGTTTTATATCAATTTATACAATTTTTTCCTGAACCACTCTGAATGTAAGTGGAAATATGCCCTTATATTTCTAAATACTTAAATGTGTATTTTTTAAAAACAAAGGCATTCTCTTATTTTTTTATTTTTATATTTTAAAGACCTTGACTTCAGCATTAAAAGGCGTTCTCTTAAATAACCACAGTACAGTTATCAAAATATGGAAATTTAATATTGATATCATACTATTACTTATTTCACAGACTATTCAAATTTTATGTTATCCCAGTAATGTCTTTTATAGCTTTTCTATCCCAGTCCAATCCATGATCACACACTGCATTTAATTGTTGTCTCTTTAATCTTTTTTCCTTTTCCTCTCTCCTCTTTTCTCTGGTCCCCTTCTCCCTTCTCCTCTCTCTCTATTCTCCCCTCTCTTCTTCCTCTCCCTACCTTCTCTCCCCTTCCCCATATCTCCTCTCCCCTCTCCTTTCCTTCTTTCCTTGACAAGGTCTTGCTGTGTTGCACATGCTAGAGTGCCTTGGCATCATCATAGCTCACTGCAACCTCAAAGCCCTGGGCTTAAGCGATCCTTCTGCCTCAGCCTCCCTAGCAGCTGGGAATATATGGTCAGGCCACCCTGGCCTTAATCTTTCTTATTCTGAAACAGTTCTCCTCAGCTTGCCTACTGACCTCCCTCTAGCCCCCACTTGCCCTTTCTTGCCCATGACAGTTTTGAAGAATACAGACCAATTCTTTGTACTTATTTCGGCTTGTTTGGTGTTACCTTATGATTACATTCAGGTTATGGATTTTTGGCCAGAATACTATAGAAGTGATATTGAGTTCTCCTTAATGCTTCCTTTAAGGAAACACACGATGTCAATTTGTTGCAATATTAGTGATTGGTTAATAATTTTATTAAGGTTGTCTAGCAGATTACTCCATTGTTTAGTTACTACTTTACTCATTGTGATTAGTAAGTAATTTTTTGGATATATTTTGAAATGATGTGGATATCTTATTTTTCATCAGCTTTCTATTCACTAATCTTGGCATCCAGTGGTAATTTTCTAATTTCATGATACTTTATTTACAAGTGGCATTCTAATAATTGAAATAATTTCCTTCTTATTTTTTAAAATTAAATATGGACTTTATAGATTTTATTTTGTACATTAGGTAAAATTCTTTACTCCCATTATTTATTTTCATGTTTAAATTGTTCTAGTTGACCAGTGGTAGCCCATCATATTTCCATCAGTCTCTCTCTCTCTCTCTCTCTCTCTCTCTCTCTCTCTCTCTCTCTCTCTCTTTCTCTCTCTCTCTCTCTCTCAGTATCCGAGTATTCATTGATACAAGGAGTCATTGCTTCTAGACCTCAGCAGACAGCTATGAAATGTATGTAAGAATGTGTGTCTGCATGCATATTTCTGTCTCTATATGTTTTAATACTAAAATACATGTAGTATAAAAATTAAAACAATGAGTTCATATTGATACCTCTAATTCAAATCTAATACCCTGGGATAGGTAGGTTCTACTTTTCCTTAAAGAGGACTTAAACACACCATTACTGGCAAGTACATTACAAACTCTGCTATAAAGTAACCAATTTAGTAGCTGTGTTGACTATTCTTGATAATATTGCAATATTGGTTTCTCTTCTTTTATTTTCAAAAGTTAATGGTATATCAGTTCATGATGTAGCCACCAAATTAAATGAATATGTTGGTACTATTAATACATTAAACCGAAGGCAGACTTGAATTCCTTTTGTCTCAGTTACTTAAAACAAACAAACAAACAAACACTCACTGTTCGTCTGTCAGCTTCAACCATAACCTGGCACATTGTTTAAAGGAATTATTGTCTTTTTGTAAAAGAAAAAAAAAAGCTCTATTATGGAAAATATTAAACAGGTAAACAGACCTACAAAAGGACTCTCATGTACCTAAATACCCAGTTATAGTAATTACCAACATGGCTTCTTTTGAAGGGAAATCACAGACAATGTTTAAACTTATCCATAAACATTTGTGTATATATTTCTTAAAAGATAAGGATTCTTCTTAAAAATGTAATCACAAATCTATTATTCCTGAAAAGGTTAAAAATAATTAATATAATTAAATACATGGTGAGTCTTAAAAATGTCCCAGTTATCTTGTAGGTTATTTTTTAAAGATGGTTGCTTGAATCAGAATCCAAATACAGGCCACATGTCTTTTATTTCTCTTTTAATGTTTAGATTCTCCTCTCTCCCCCCATTTTTTTCTCAGAATTTGGGTTGTTTGGACTATAAATTTCTCACATTCTGGACTTTGCTTAATTTCATTATCATCTTGTTATTAATATTAACACGTTCCTTGGTCTCCTCTATGTTTTATAAACTGGTTGTTAGATCTAGAGGCTTAGTCAGATTCAGATTTACTTAATTTTGTCAAGAATGTTTCATAGGTGGTGTTATACTTCATTAGGGGGCACATTAATTTTCATATGTCTCTCATGTTATAATAGTGAAATTAATGATCATTACCTAGATTCTTTCTTTTTCATTAGGAATTTGCAAAATGATGACATTCCAAGCATGTTATTTCTTCATTTATTAGTTGGATTATTTTAGTAGAGACAATTTTCTCCAATTATTTGTTTACCTAAAGGTACAATTCATATAGCGAAGGCAGGTAAAGTGCTTGCTTCACTAGTTTTTGGAATAAAGATTTGGTTCCCTAGTATACTCCAAAAGGTAATTAATTCATTTTTTATAGGTACCATTATAAACTCATGAACTTAAACATTTTGCTGTTTCAATCAATTGCAGTTATTTTTTATGGATGGTGAAAGTACACTATCTTTGTTAAAGGGAGCCTGTTCAGGTTTGCTTCGTAGGTCCATGGGCACCAACTCCAGAAATCTTTGATAGACTAATTTGCTTTCTGATATGGTAAGTTTTTTTTTTTCTGAGACAGAGTCTCACTTTGTTGCCCAGGCTAGAGTGAGTGCCGTGGCGTCAGCCTGGCTCACAGCAACCTCAATCTCCTGGGCTCAGCGATCCTCCTGCCTCAGCCTCCCGAGTAGCTGGGACTACAGGCATGCGCCACCATGCCCGGCTAATTTTTTGTATATATATTTTTAGTTGGTCAATCAATTTCTTTCTATTTTTGGTAGAGACGGGGTCTCGCTCAGGCTGGTTTCGAACTCCTGACCTTGAGCAATCCGCCCGCCTCGGCCTCCCAAAGTGCTAGGATTACAGGCGTGAGCCACCGCGCCCGGCCTGATATGGTAAGTTTTATACATTTCCTGCCCCATACCTGGAGTCAAGTATTTTTCTAAAGAGCCCTGCTTCCTTTTATTGGGAAATGGTATTTAGGATCCATAATCTGGGTGCTAGAAGTAAAAGAACCATCTTTTTTTCCTTTTTAAACAACAACAGGTAGTTATCTCACAGTTTGTGTGGGTCATAATTCTGGAGTGGCTTAGCTGAGTGGTGGTGTGGCTTGGTGTCTGCTGTCAAGATGGCTTACTTACATAGCCAGCAATTTGATACTGGTTGGCTGTTGGCAAGAGATTCAGTGTCTTCATGACTTGGTAGCTGACTTCCTCAAGAGCAAGTGATCCAAGACAGCCAGTAGGGTCTTTTAATTCGTTTTCCTACTTGACAGTA